GCTGCGCAGGACTAGGGTCGTCAGTGGAGAGGGGCTGCTGGTGGTGCGAGGCCGCGTGGGGCTAGGGCCGGTAGTGGGGCGAGATTATGGGGCACAGAGCAGATGGGGAGCGCCCAGGCTACAGTTGCCGCCTGTGCGGTGGTGACCCAGAACCCTCACGTTTTCCCCGCAAACTCTGACCTTTCCGTGAGTGACTGAAGAACTTCCTTGAATCCACATGTTTGCACTGATTTGGGCGTCACAGCTGCTAGATGGTCTCCTCTGCTGTGGGTTTTCCAGGCCTCAGAGAAGGTCCTCCTTTCTTGGTAAGATGGCGCAGCCTTCCCTCTGAGCCCATAGCTCAGGGAGAGGTCTCCACTGTTGCAGTGTTGGCTGCTTGGTCAGAAAATCCTGTCCAGATGACCCTTACCTTTTTTTTTTTTTTTTTTTTTTTTTTTGAGTTCTGCTACCCCTTAGCTCACCAATCTGTACTCCCTGAGCAACTTTTAGAAGCTGATTCTATCTGTTCTGGGACTAGGCTTAAAACAAGTCCTTCTGATCAGTCGCCATCTTGTCTCTCGCTGCTGTGTGTTTTAAGACGAGTTTTCAATATGAAAGTTTTATTCTCATATTCTATTTTACTTTAATAACAGTTTTCTATTGTTCTTGGTCTACTATTTCTTGTTTATTCTTCTAAAGTCTTATTTCTTAAAGACCAGTAATAAGAATCAGGAGTAAGATTTTGATTCCTTGCTTTCTTAGTTCACCATACTAAGAGGTTTAATAAAATGCACTTTGTTTTAATTGATGGCATTCTTATTGGATCGAGGTAAAAGAGCTGATTTGTGATTTCTGATTTTGTGATTCAGTTCTGTTGTGTAGACCTTTAATTGCCACTGCTTGCTTGCTTGCTTTATCCTTTCACTACCAATCTACCAAGAGATGTCTCCTCCTTTCAAGATGACCCATTCTTTCCCTGAAATGTTGTTTTCCTAAGATTTTTCCTATGAAGTCTTTTTTTTAAATTCCATTTCAATTTATTTTTATTATATTATTTTCTATTCTCACTTGAATTGAGTACAAAATTTCCTTACCAGGCTTTAGGTTGTCATTCTCTGTTGTAATTGTTGTAATTTTTTCCAAGTTCTGCCACAGATAGTTCTTGAACTATCCACTTTTCTGTGTTTCTCTGCCTAAGTCAACTATGACATGGATTCTGGAAATCAGTAGTTTCAAAAAGTTTACTGCTTACTGAATTAGCTTCCTAATGCTGCTGTAACAAATTACCACAAACTTTTTCTCTCACAATTCATGAAGCTACATGTCTGAAATCAAGGTGTCAGTGGAGCCATAATCATCTCTGAAAGCTTTAGTTAATTATCTTCCCTTACCGCTTCCTTGCTTCTGGTAACTGCCAACAATCCTTGGCATGCCTTCATTTGCAGGTGCATCACTTTACTGCCTCTCTCTTCATATGGCCGACTTTCTTCTGTGATGTCTGTATCTCTGTGTGTCTTCTCCCCTTATAAGGACGATAAGGATGAAATTAGGGCTCACTCTAACCCAGTTTGACTAAGTATATATGCAGACTATTTTTCCAAATAAAGTCACATTCTGAGTTTCAAGGTGAACATCAATTTTAGGAAAATATTACTCAAGCCAGTACTCTTATACTAAATTATGCTATAGGTATAGATTGCAATGCTTTTATTTGCTCTGTTCATATATATTAGAGACCTAAGTGCATGAAATTTGTGCATGGGGGTGGAGTTCCTCAACCTAGCCTGTACACTCTCCAATCCAGGACCCCTTGAGGGGTCTCTGGCTGCCCTCTTGCAATCCAGGACCTCTGGCTCCTAACTGCTTGCCTGCCTGCCGGCCTGATCACCCTTAACCGTCTCTACCTCGGCCCCTGCCACCGTGGCTTTGTCCAGAAGATGTCCGAAAGATGCCTGGTCTAATTTGCATATTACCCTTTTATTAGTATAGATGGTTTCTGGAAGAAGGTGCAGCAAAATTCAGATTTAGATAGCTGTCATTGCCCTTTAGGAAATTAGATCATCAAAACACTCTGAGCCCTGGCCAGTGTGGTTCACTCAGCAGGTGATGTTGACCTTTCTCTCTTTCTCTTTCTCTCATACTTTCTCTCTAAAAATCAATTTAAAAAAATTTTTCAAAGAAACACACTGAGGTTATAAAGTAATTCAATTAATCAATTTTAGGTAATGATCATAAATTTTCATATTGATTCTTTTTACATCTGTCAAAAGTGTTTTTTCTCAGAAAATTGTTATAAAAGATTATTGTTATAAAAGTTAATTAGCATACTTAACTCTTTTTCTCTTCCACAGTGGTATAAGAACACTGAATTCCTTCAAGAGAGGGGAGGGGCAAAAAATCAGGAGGTAAATATAAAAACAACAACAAAGTGGTTTTTGAAAATACCTAGTTAATATTTTTTCCAAAGACTGTTTCTGATCAGAGCAACATAAAAACCAGTTGACTTAATAGACCTGAGAGTTATTTTGATCATCACAAACTTTTTTTTATGTGAAGATATTTAGAATTGATTTATTAATTTTTTATTAAACATATTGGGGTTACACTGATTAATAAGATCTATAGGTTTCAAGTGTACATTTCTATGATACATGATCAGTATATTTGCATTGTGTGCCCATGACCCAAAGTCAAATAATCTGCCACCATTTATTTGGCCCCCTTTACCCTTTACAACCCCCACCTCTTTCCTTCTGGTAACCACCACACTGTTGTCTGTGTTTATGAGTTTCAGTTTTACATCCCACATATGACTTCATATGGCTTATAGCTTCTTCTGGCTTATTTTGCTTAGCATGATAGTCTCAAGGTCCATCTGTGTTGGGGCAAATGGCAGTATTTCATCTTTTCTTATGGCTGAGTTATATTCCGTTGTATAAATGTACCACATCTAGGTTATGGAGAAAAAGGGACCCTCATTCACTGCTGGTGGAAATGTAATATGGTACAGCCACTATGGAGAACAGTATAGAGTTTCTTCAAAAAAATAATAATAGCTGAAACTGGTTTGGCTCAGTGGATAGAGCGTCGGCCTGGGACTGAAAGGTCCCAGGTTCGATTCCAGTGAAGGGCATGTACCTTGGTTGCGGACACATCCCCAGTAGGGGGTGTGTAAGAAGCAGTTGATGTTTCTCTCTCATCGATGTTTTTAACTCTCTATCCCTCTCTCTTCCTCTCTGTAAAAAATCAATAAAATTTATTTTTTTTAAATTAATAATAAAATTACCTTATGACCCAGCAATCCTTCTTCTGTGTATCAAACCAAAAATTTCAAAAAAAATTACACAAAGATATATACATCCCAATGCTCATTGCAGCATTATTCATGATGACCAAGACACGAGAACAACAGAAGTGTCCTTTGATAGATGATTGGATAAATTATTTTATTAGATAATTTTAAACTGTTTTTAACCTGATCTAGTATATCTGATATGTAAGTTAAGTTAAGCTTAAGTTCTTCCCATCAGCCAGTATCCCTCTGCACTCTCTGAGTTGAAAAGAATTTTATCAAAAGATACTTTTTTATTTTAAATCCTTATTGTTGAAAGTATTACATATGTCCTCTTTATTATCCCATTGACCCCTTATAGCCTGCCCCTGACCCTTGCCCCAGGCCTTCACCACCCTATTGCCTATGTCCATGGGTTATGTATGTATGTGTATATACACACAAGTTATTTGATTGATATCTTCCCACTTACCCTCCCATCCCTGCCTTCTCTCTGTTTTCTGGTCCATTTATTCAGCCGCTGAAAATGTTCCTTTATTTCTTAATTTCTGTGTGACTGCCATCATAACATTTTTCTAGCTGACTTCAAGACAAATTTTAAAGCGGCTAATTATCCTAAGAAAATTATATGTGATTCTCATGGTTCTTTTTCCTGCTTTCATCTTGGTTGATTTGATCACAGTATAGTTATCATACAAATGATGAGGCATTCCAGTGGAAAGGATAGAGAATAAAGAAAGCTTGCAGAACAAACCACATATTTCAAAGATTTTACTTTTTTCTGAGTAAACAGAGATTCTCCTTGTGATAAACTTGGTTTTAAGAAAATATTTTAAAAAGCATACACAGTGGTAAAAAAGTAGGAATTCTCACTATTTTCAACAGCATAGATGGAACTGGAGAGCATTATGCCAAGTGAAATAAGCCAGTTCTAGAAAGATAAATATCACATGATCTCACTCATTTGTGGAATATAATGAACAACATAAACTGATGAACAAAAACCGATCCAGAGACAGAGAAACATTGATTAGACCACCAAACCTCAGAGGGAAGGTAGGGGAGTGTGGGGGTAAGGGGGAGTAATCAACCAAAGGACATGTATGCATGCATATAAGCCTAACCAATGGACACAGACACCAGGGGGGTGGGGGCATGAGTGGGGGGATAGAGAGGGTAATGGAGAAATAAGGACACATATGTAACGCCTTAATCAATAAAGAAAAATTTTAAAAGGTCTACACTTCTTATATATTTTAATAATAGTAACTATTAATATTTTAAATATATAATTCTTAGTTTAGTTTTGTAACTTCATTTGTTAAAATGAGAGAAAACATTTAATACATTCACTAGGTGAGATTTAATGGGTATCTGTCATAATTGTAAATCAACTAATCACCACCTATTTGTTGAATTTTTGCTGTGTGCAAAGCATGGTTTTTAGCTAAAAAGAGACAAAGACATACAAATGTACAAGAAAGAGTTTGGAAGTAAATAACTAAACTGTATCCATTACCTTTGCTTTGAAAAGTTTACTGATTTCTAACAAAAAGTGCTCTGATTTGAATTTAGAACATTTGGTGTGACATTTAATGCTCACAGATGGATAAAAATGGACTGATTACTTTTTTATATATATAAGCAGAGAAAACTCATTGCTTAGATTCTTAACTATAACTCCTAAACCACCCCATATCTTTTTTTTTTTTTTTTTTTTTTTTTTTGTCTTCCTGGAACAAATGTTCCTCTTCTCCCCCAGCCAGCCCCAGTGGAATCATTATTATAGACTCTGGGACCAGGACAGGAGGTAAAACATGTGAATGTTTCCTCACTGGAAAACCATTCCATATCTTTTATATGACAGCTATTTGTAGGTCACTGACAGTTGGATTTGAGTGTCTTTCATTCTACTTTTTTTTTTGTATGAGAAAAAGATGAAGCCAAAGAATCAATTTGAAGAGAACTGCAATTTATATCCTGATCAGAAATTACTATAGTTTCCTTGATCTTAGTATTATTTTTAAATTTAGCGTGATTCACATCTGTTTTAGCTAATTACAAGTACAGATTATGCATAATTATAACTTCTAGATTATGGATCATGTTTCATAAAAAGGATTACTCTTACCACAGACATGCAAGACTCTTGTCTGAAATAAAGCTTCATTATCTCATTGAAACATGAGGTAAAGAATGTTAATTTTCTGATCTAAAAGTATTAAAACTCTCTTCCTTGTAACATGAACTGAAGGGAGATGGTTTAATGTTTAACATAAGATTCTTAGTTTCTCATTTTTATTTCTAGAAAAACAAGCTTATGAAGTGATTTAAATATAATAATTACTGATCACATATGCTAGAGGGGGAAGTTTTAATTTAGTATAGTTTAAAATTATTTTTTCTTCCATACACAACATTTGCATTTATAAACTAGAATGGATTTGTAATCAAATTTATAGATAATAATTTAAATGTAATGATTCTTAGATGAAATTCATAATTTGCACATATATTTAATAAAATTCACCTATCTAGTTTAAAAATGAAAATAGATAAAATTAGGTTACAAAAGGAAAGACAAAATAAAAAGATGTTTTCTGGAAAAAGGAATAGGCGTTCAATTTTATTCAGTAGTGGAAATGGAAATAAAAATTAATTAGGTGAATTAAAGTATTAAACATTTGACAGAAGCTATTATAATAAAACACTAAAACATAAAATAGAAATAATTTACTAACAAAAAGCTCTTAGAGAATATTTGCAAATTATCTATTAAATGAGATGGTCCTTCAAAATGTGATGTTTATTTTACAATAATTTCCACAGTTTTGATATTAGAAAATGCAAAACATTACTTTGAACATTAATACAGATAAAAGTGAATTATTATCATACTATTCTGGTTTTGCTTCTTTTTTATTTCTCTGCTGTTTGTAATTATAATAGTACAGAGGGTTAGAATATTTTTAGTTTGAAATATGGGATATAGTCATTACCAACAATGAAAATAAAATTATAATATGAAAATAATAATTATCAAGACTGGGATAGCTTTCAGTTTGTACTAGAAGGTTCTGTATAAAATTCTAACTTTAAATTTTACACTTTTCCTTTTGTTCTGCAAAGTCTGAAGCATTTCTAATGTTCTCTGTTGGAAATCATTTATCAGTTTAATGAACACATTCAAGGAAAGATAACCATAGGGAAGGAGGAGGGAAGATTGATTCTTTTGTTGCACACATAGTATAACTACCTATCTCTCAGTATATCTGACAGACTCCAAACATTAAATTAACTGAAATGAAAACCTCATTCTGAACCGTGATTTCCCATACATACCAAACAGCCTATAAAACGCCTTTGATTTTATGTCCAAATCCATTAAACACACTGTAGAAGAAAGGATAGCAAGTGTGTGGTTGAATATATGCTCATAGAAAGCTTCCATACTTTGTTAACTTCATAGCTGAGTTGATCCACAGGGTGCAAAGCAAGGCACTGAGAATACTAAATGACCTGGCATAGTTGGAAATGGAATTGCATTCTGAATGAAAGCACAACATTGGGAAGAAACTCAAAAGCAGAATAATTTTCTACTTTGTTATCTTTCTACTGACCATGTAAATTTAAGTATGTGGAAATGGAGCTTGTCAGTTATTGCTCAAAGGCAATGCCAGTTGTTGGAGTGATGAGGTTTTAGTAAAGACCAGTTTGATAAAAACCTTCTCAAGAATCGTTTCTTTGATTGTGTACTTTTTATGGATCTTTAAGAGTTGTACTAGATCATTGACAGAAGTTATTAATCGTTTTAATTTTTGTTATCTTTATATTTGAACACATTTCATTGGCATACAAAAAAGGGTTGTTGTTGTTGTTTTTTCTTTCTTGATTAAGTGCCATATACAACTATCTAACAGTCAGCAAGCAGCAGGAGGTTAATGGCAATGACCTAGAATAAAACTAAATGTCACCTCATCTTACTTTTCTATAAAACCTTCTAAGTAGATAAGACATGTTCAGAAATCTGTAAAATGTGCCCTTTGCTTACAAGAAAAGGCCACTTCTGAGCTAACAAATTTTAATAGGCTACTCATAAATGATCACATCAGTGACTGAAATATGGTGATATGCACACTTTAAATATTGGTGCAATTACTTTAGCCCTAACTCATGATTGTTTTTGTTTTGTTTTGTTTTTACTTGATAGGAAGTACCTTGGAGCTTTTGAAAAATTACAAAATATAATATATTTTCATGAAACAAATGAAATGTCTTAAAGTCAATATAATCATATTTATTTTGTCACCTACACAGTTTACCTTTCAAGTCTACATACTTAATTATGCATGATCATAGATCCATCAACTACTATACAGATTTGATTCCAGTCAAGGGCATGTACCTTGGTTGCGGGCACATACCCATTGGGGAGTGTGCAGGAGGCAGCTGATCGATGTTTCTCTCTCATCGATGTTTCTAGCTCTCTATCTCTCTCCCTTCCTCTCTGTAAAAAAATCAATAAAATATATTTTAAAAAATTGTATTCATGGAAAGGTACTAATTCCTGACTTGTTTTAGAATTGCTGGGTGCATGGTGACAATAAAAAGCAAACCAATTTTAGTAAATTTTATTATTGTGGGCACCCAGGGTAGACCACATCCTGTCATTCTTGACTCAGCTCCTCCTTCCCTTGGTACAAGTCTGCTTTTTAACAAATTTTATTCTCCAAAGAAAGGGATGATATGTTCACTGGATGATAACTTCAGTGTCAAAGGTAGTGCCAATCAATATATAGAAAAGCCTAAGCAACCTTTACAACTGGTTAACCAGAATGACCAGAATAACCAGTCACTATGACACGCACCAACCAGCAGGGGTAGATGCTCAATGCAGGAGCTGCCCCCTGGTGGTCAGTGTGCTCCCGGAGCAGGAGTCCTGCTGAGCCAGAAGCTGTGCTCATGGCTGGAGAGTGCAGCTACAGCAGCAGCAGCACTACCACTAACAGTGGTGGTGATGGTGGCAGGCACAGTGGGGCCAGGATGAGCAGAATTGGGACTCCCTGCCCTAGGCCCTGGCTTGGGCTCCACCCAGCCACCTGCTGCTTCCCTCATTGTTACAGCCCTGAGTGGATGTCAGACTGTGGGTTTAGGCCTGGTCAAAATCCGCAGTCTGATATCTCCTGAGGGGTTCCAGATTGCAAGAGGGTGCAGGCCAGGCTGAGGAACCCCACTGGTGCACAATAAATAAACAAAACAGGTATCTAATATAAACAAAATAATGGGAGAATTATAACAAGATGAATTTGTTATTAAATGTGTGAATATTTGTATTTCATATTTTAAAAACACAATCATTTTGAGTGTCAAGATGTCTGAACTGGGGCCATGAGTATGAGAGTTTGAAGTGTAATGAAATTGAAGTAGTAAAGCAAATGTGAGGCAAGTTGTTGAGAGAGCTCCAAGGCCATTTATGAAGATGACAGGACCAAATAATAATATTATGTCAATATCATTAAGAAATAAGATTTTTGCATTATAATTATGCATTTAAACATATGCACCACCCAGAATATGCCATGTTATCTCATTAGAGATCCTATAAAAATTTATTTAATTAAGTTTCATTATTTTTCCCATTTTTATGGATAAGGAAACAAAGAATTAGAGAGATTACTCAGTTCAGTACACACAGCTAGTGAGTGGTAGAGCTCAGCTGTCTGATATGTTTTCTGATACGTAATCATTAAAAATTGATGACTGAGCCCTAGCCAGTGTGGCTCAGTGGTTGAGTGTCGACCTAGGAAAGAGGAGGTCACAGTTTGATTCCAATCAGGATGCATAAATAGCTTGATATCTGGTATTGTTATCCCTCCAACATTGTTCTTTCTCAAGATTGCTTCAGCTATTCAGGGTCTTTTTTATTCCAGATGAATTTTTGGAGAATTTGTTATAGGTCTTTGAAGTATGCCATTGGTATTTTAATGGGGATTACATCAAATTTGTAGATTGCTTTGGGTAATATGGACATTTTAATGATGTTGATTCTACCAATCCATGAACATGGTATATTCTTTCATTTGTTCATGTTCTCCTCTATTTCTTTTTTAGTGCCCTAAAATTTTCAGAGTATAACCCCTTTGTCTCATTGGTTAAGTTTTTTCATAGGAATCTTAATTTGTGTTGTTGTTGTTGCAATGGTAAATGGGGTTGCTTTTTAAATTTCTCTTTCTGTGAGATCATTATTGTTGTATAGAAAAGCCATAGATTTATGGGTGTTAATTTTTTATCCTACTACGTTGCTGAATCATTTATTAAATCCAATAGTTGTTGTTGTTGTTTTTATTCAGTCTTTGGGGTTTTCTATGTTCAATATTATGTCATCTGTGGATAAGGAAAGTTTTACATCTTCTTTTCCAACTTGGATGTCTTTTATTTATTCTTCAAGTCTGATTGCAAAGGCTAGTACTTCCAGTACTATGTCGAACAGGAGTGGTGACAGTGGGCATCCCTGTTTTGTTCCTATTCTTAGGTGAAATGGTTTTAGTTTTTTTGTGTTGTTTTTTTCTTGTTTTGTTTTGTTTTTTTTCCATTGAGTATGATTTTGGCTGTGGGTTAGTCATATATGGATTTTGTTATGTTAGAGTATGATCCTTCTATTCCCATTTTGCTGAGAGTTTTTATCAAAAAAGGGTGTTGGATTTTGTCAAATGCTTTTTCTGCATCTATTGATATGATTATGTGATTTTTCTCTCTGTTTGTTTATGTGATTTATCTTATTTATTGATTAGCAGATATTATACCATCCTTGCATACCCAGAATAAATCCCACTTAGTCAT